GTTTGTTAAATCCATCCATTTGTGGTATTTCTGTTACAGCAGCACTAGATAACCAAGACAGTCACTATGAGTGGGAATCAACTTGACAGCAATGAGTTTCCAACCTAAGGGGCTCATCTTCCAGCACTATATCAGACAATATTCTGTTGTGATCCACAGGGTTTGCATTGGCTAATTTCAGAAGTACATGACCTGGCCTTTCTTCCTAGTCTGTCTTAATCTGTCAGAGCAACACACAAGTCACCATAGTACGACAAACTGACAGACAGGTGGTAGGTAGCCTATAAAGCTTACCCCCCCATAATCCATTCCACATGGAGGTAGAGTAATATTTTTTAAATGTAATATATACCCATGATAGAACATCTTGGATCAGACTTTTCCTCCTTCTATAAATCACTAGAAAACTAGAGCAAATATATGAGGCAAAGGTTTTTGGACACTGGACAAGAAGCCACACAGAACCTTGATCCCTGAGAGAACAAAAACAAATGAGGTGAGCCTTAGAATAGTCTAGACTTTATGCTTAGTGGTACTTTCTAAATTGTAAGGAGAGATATCCCAAGTGGAAATTGTTATTGTCACTCAAGAGAATTCTTTAACCTCTTAAGTGACAACCAGAAGTCAAGAGGTTCAGCACATCTGGAGTATCCAAACCCTGCACATTGCAAAGAAAGGTTTGGCCCTTGACCATTTCCTTGGAGATAACCTCTAAGTCCTTGGAATATCATGCCTGATAACAGTGTCTTTGTTTACCTGGGGCCTTGCACCATGCTAGACAGTACATGCTAACAATGTGATTTATGGTGGGGGCCTTACGCCACAAGGTTATCAGCTTGACCTGTGGAGAAGCTGTAGAGTGAGTAACTAAGGTCAGCCAAGTGGGTGCTCCTTATCTACGTGACCGACCCTCAGTAAAAACCTTAGACACCAAAAGTTCGAGTGACCTTCCCTGATTGGCAATACTTCGTGCATGTTGTCATGCATCATTGCTGGGAGAATTAAGCACTGTCCATAAGACTCCACTGAGAGACTGAATAGAAGCTTGTACCTGGTCTCTCCTGGATGCTGCCCCACGCACCTTTTTACATTGCTGATTTTAATCTGTATTGTTTCACTGTAATAAACTGTAACCATGAGTTTAACAACTTTGCTGAGTTCTATGAGTTCTTTTAATGAATCACTGAACCTGAAGGTGGTGTTGGCTGCAATTACTAATTCCAAAAGTCATAACCAAACCATACATTAAGCATTTACTAGTTTTTTTTACTGACAGATTAGATGATTCTGAAATGACCATGTTAATGGCACAGCCATTCCTGGGAGTGAAAGTTCACCAACTACTATATGTATCTAGAGAGGTTGAAGAAAGAATTAAGCCAAAAAGAAGATTAGCAATTTCAAGGACAGCTCTTTCTTCAAGTTTTTTTTTGTTGTTGTTGTTGTTTGTTATTTACTCATTTTTTACGAAATTATTTTGCCAATGTTTTTCTTTTTTAATATTTAGTATCCCTTGAGACAGCCAGAGATTCTTTGAAAATATAAACTAGCTGCTAGTACTACAATACTTTGACAGTGGTCACAATTAACAGACTACCCTTCATTAGTAATTCTATTTCTTTAGCAGAAAGTTAACCTTAGGGTTATTCAGTAAAGCAGGACTAGTAGTAGTCTTAATTTCAAAAAACACTATACTGAGCCCTTTGATTATAAGGTTAATCAGAGTCCCAGTAAGAACAGGATAAAAATATAGAACAAAACTCAAACTCATAAAAGAAGACCAGACTTACTGGACTGATAGAGACTGGAGGAACCCCCAAGACTATCGCCCTAAAACACCCTTATCATCTGGAGCTGAAGTCACTCCCAGAGGTCACTTTTTAGCCAAATAATAGATTGGCCTATCAAATAAACAATAACACCCATGAGGAATATTCTTCTTTAAAGAATCAACTATAGGAGACCAAACCAAATGGACAACACTTGTCCAAAAGCAAAGATGAGAACGCAAGGAGGGATAGGAAAACTGGAGGGATGGAAACCCTGTTGAGTCAATTCCAACTCATAGTGACCCTACAGGACAGAGCAGAACTGCCCCATAGGGTTTTCAAGGAGTGGCTGGTGGACTGGAACTGCCGACCTTTTGGTTAGCAGCCCTAGCTCCAAACCACTATGACACCAGGGCTCCAGAAACGCGGAAGGCAGGGCGGAAATGGGGAGAGTGCTGACACATTGTAGGGATAGCAACAGATGTCATAGAACAATTTGTGAATGAATTGTTGAATGGGAAACTAATTTGCTGTGTAAACTTTCACCTAAAGCACAATAAAATGTTCAAAAAAAAAAGAATTAACACATCACACATACACAAAAAAAGGTTAATCAGATAAATACTCTCCCTGCCCTGAAAGAGCTTTTACACAAAGAAGAGTATCAACAAAGGAGCAAATAATAAAACTGAAAAACACATAAAAGACAGCCGTAGGGATATACTTAACAATTGTATGATTAAGAAATTTTCTCTATTATTTTTTTCTTCTCCTTCCTCCTCCTCAAAAAGAGATGGTAATACGATCTAATTACCTGTTTACAAACCCACAAACAAAAAAGGACCGTCACCAAGGATCTCTTTACCTTGTGCACTAACCTTCTCAGGTTTTCTGCACCTATAGACCCTCAGAGAAAAAATCCTAGGTTTTCTTTTTTCTAAACCGTGATTCCCTGAACCTTTACTATATAAATCAGTTGTAAGTTTACAAAATAGTACATATAAAAGTGTGGATAGAACACTGTTAGCACAGAAGATTAAAGTGAAATGCCCAAGAGCCTCCAATATTTTTAAAGTAAAATATCAAGCTTGTAACTATCTTGGAAAGCCCACTGCGTTTAGGAATTCTGATTTTATTCCTTAAGAACAATTAAATATTATTCAGAAGACAATTTAAAGCAAGACATTATTATATAGGAGAAAAACAATACTTTTAACAGATAACCAAAGTAATCTTATTTTATAATTTGCACTTATAAAAAATGACAATGTCAAGGAAAAACAAGTTTGTAAAGGCCTTATAACAATAATTGATCTGAATGGAATTTTCAGGGGTCATTTAAAAATATCAAATAGCCACAAGTTCCCTTCATAAAATAGAAATAAGGACTCAGAGGAAAAAAAGATGCTCTACTATATACATCACTATAACATGATCAATTAGTTAATGTATTAATTTCACATAGAATAATTTCAGGCTTTTATTATTGATTTCTAAAGGTAAATTTTAATATTTTATTAGGAAAACAAATTATCTATAATAGAATTTTGGCATTAATATTAAATAGCAATTAGTCAACACAGCTGCCCACTGTTGCAAGGAGAAAACATAAAAATGTTCATTTGACTCAATTTGGTTAAATCCAACACTTTGGTTCATCTGTAAAACTACACTTTTTAAAGGTACAGGGGCAGATGAAATGGAATCTGAAAGATTAAATTGGAGGCAGGAAAATGATTAGAGAGAAAAAAAATCAGAAGCAGGAGAAAAAAAGAAATGAAAACTAAAGAAAAGTTGCCGGTTGACATCACACAAATTTTTCTCTGTGATGACAATTTCCTGGCTTCAGAGTTGAGCTGGAGCTACATTATCTCTGCAGACATCCAAAAATACTTATTCATGTCTAAATAATCAATAGAACATTTTAGTTCAACTGACTAATTTTTCACTGCCTTCTATGTGAAAGAATATGCAACGAAATATTAAGGAAATACATTCAAATAAGTGTTGCTCTTTCAAGGTGAGGGACAGGAAGCCATATGCTCATCATTTCAGCCATGCAATTACTCCAAAGAATTTCTGGAACTTCTTTTTGGAAGTACATTCAGTCCATTTACAAACCTCTATAGACTTTATACTCACATCTAGTAAAAATAAATAAATAAATAAAAGTTTCCAGGCTCTTTGACTGCTTTCCTCATAGTACTAATTTTTGGTTCCTTACTAGAGTCAACTCCACATTCAAGTTGATAATTAACTCCCATTGAAGGAATCTGAAACCTTCGCCTCAAACCCAGGAGGCAAATCAGAAAAAGGGAAATTCTACAAAAGCTCGGAGGAATAAAATTATCAGCTCCCAAAATTAAAGCTATTGGCTATGAACTGGATAATCTTAATTTGGCTGATTAAACTTTGATATATTTTTTTTTTATATTGCACCTTTTCTTTTTATTCCATCTGTTCCTTCCCCTAACTTTATTGGTGTTTTATATATGAAAGTTCATAAACATTCATAAAACACAAGATGTAAACAGAAGAAATGGAATTACACAGTGGGAGGGAAACTATAATTGGATACTTCAACAAGAATTCTGTTCTCCCAAGGAATCGAATTGTTTCCTCCTTCAATTTAATCTAGAGCCCTGCTGGCATAGTGGTTAAGGGTTCGCCTACTAACCAAAAGGTCGGCAGTTCGAATCCACCAGCCACTCCTTGGAAACCCTATGGGGCAGTTCTACTCTGTCCCTACAGGGTTGCTGTGAGCCAGAGTTCACTCAAGGGTAACAGGTTTCAATTCAATGATAAGCATTACACCCATCTAAGAACAAAGCACTGTGCTAGGCAGGGGGAAATCCGGGGGTGAAAAAGCAGTTCTGGCCTGAAGAGCTTGTTTCACTGGAATTCTCCTAATCCCTTGGCATTTGGAATTTACCAATGATATGGAGTCCTGGTGGCACAGTAGTTAAGAGCTATGGCTGCTAACCAAAAAGTCAGCAGTTGGAGTCCACTAGTTGCTCTGTGGAAACCCTGTGGGGCAGTTCTACTCTGTCCTATAGGGTCACTAAGTTGAAATTGACTAGACAGCAACAGGGTTTTTGTTGTTGTTGTTGTTTTGTTCTTTATGCACACGCATACAACAGAACCCGGTGTGTATGGGGGTTGGGGGCTGCACCCCACAAATTCTCTCATTCTTTCTTTTAGTGCTGATTTTCAAAGACTGGTACTACTCACACTTCAGGGCACTGAAAGCCAGTTCGTAGGATAAACGCTGGAAGGATTCATCCTCAGACTCGGGCGAGGACGGCAGGGGTTCATTCCCATACTTGATTAAGACCTTCTCTGGTGACTTTTCGAATCGAATACCCTGAAAAATGTTGGCTGCCATAACGTAAATGAAGTCGGGGTAGCCAGGTTTTTCGGCTGAACATGATGAGCTTTTTTCTCTGGATGACAGCTCCAGGGAAGAGAGCTGGGAGATTTCCTCAGAACTTGTTTGGTTCGAAAACTCCAGTTCACTTGCGGCGTTAAGCATGTTTGCCCCTTGATTGTCGTTAGTAACTTAAGCTTGAATTAAAACTCAGATGTTCCAGGAAATGGTTTTCTTTGCCGCCTTAAGCATCGTCTCTGTGAAAAGAAAAGGTTATCCTGGTAAATCACTATTTCTGCAGCATCACACTTAGTGGTCTACAATCGTGGTGGCCCTAAACACTAGCAGATGGTGGCATTTACTAGCCGACTCAAGCATCCCACACTTCTAGCAAGACTTGCCTCAAGGAAACCTCCACAAACTCAAAAAAGGAAGAGGGGTAGAGAGAAAGCTCCTGAGTCTGCAGTTTGGGGGCAGAGGTCCCAATGCACCAGGTCTGAGGCCCCACAGCCGCCCGCCCTTTCGTCGGCTCCCGCGAATCCTCCCTTACCCCAGAGGGCGGATGTTTCCGGGGTTTGGGGGACGGAGACAGGCAGCCGCTGCACTTCGGACACCAGAGGCGCGTTTCCGGTACAGTGCCCTCAGGCGCCCCGGAGCGGCGGGGAGCCGGCGACAGCCGCGAGGCCGTTTCGTTCAAATGCAGCCACTCCCACCGGCGGGTACGTCGCAGTGGGGGGTCGCGACCTCCGCTGCTCCGTTCGCTGTGGTTCCGGAGGGAGGGCGCGCCTCGGGGCCTCGCCGGACCTCGCGAGTTCGCCCTCGCGGACGCGGCGGAGGAGAGGGGTGGAGGGCGAGGGCCACCGAAAGGTCGGCTTCCGCCTTCCCTCGGCGTAGTCCAGTCCCCGACCCGGGTCTCCATGGCAACCGGAAGCGGGCGGGCGCCGCGCCGTGGACAAACCTGCGGGGTTTGGCTGAGCGAGGCGCTCTTTCTCCCTCCTGAATCCTTTGTTTCTGCCTCTCCACGAAGTCGAAGCGCCTTCCATCAGTGGACTACACCGAACTCGGGGGTCCTCGAAGAATCATCACACGTGGCCCTGCTTCCGAGGCACGTCCCCTGTAGTCTCCATGAAAACAAGGATTTTGAGTCACCTGCAACATCCAGTTTAGCAGGGGCTCAGGAAATGTTAAAACACTTGGGTGTAGAAGTTCCGGAGAAAGGGGAAAAAGGCAAGCCTACTTTATTTCTCTGCCTTTTAGAACTATAGACATCACGTTTAGACTCTTCCAGGGCATGTTGTATAAAGATCTTTATAAGATAAAGTTAAGATCCCAATCCCTGTTCTCCGGGAGTTGCCTGCAAAGAGAAACATTGCTGAAATGTGCCTACAAGTGGTTAAATTCTCCAGACCTCCAAGTTATAGAAGGGAACTGAAAATATACATAAACCCCCATAAGGATTTTAATGTGGCTCCTTTGATTTTTGAGAGCCCTAGGAGAAATATGCATCCTAAAGTTTCAGAGAAAAATCAGCCATGTTGATTTTTAAATGTGGTAGAAAAATATTAATTTCTAGAATAAAACCAAATGACTGAGATTGAAGTTTTCTGCTGAGTAATATGCATTTTAAACCCTTCATTTATAGCATTTCATATGTAAAGCTGGTACAAGTCCCAAACTCAACAAAAAGCATGCTGAATATACTCTAGAGTTAAATAACCCTAGAGACCCTACTGATTCCTCATTGAGAACCTCATAAATTTATCCAACTACTTTGTAGAAGTGGTCCAGTCTGGAAAATAAACATAATTTACACGAACACTAGTGTCAGTTATGGTCACTCAGGGATTCTGATTTGTGTTGGCTAGCCTTCCTCCTATGTGTTAGACAGGTGCAGAAGATTCTGACATGTGATAGACGTATCTCTGTAACTTTAGGTAAGTCCTTAACACCTCTTGGCCTTGATTGCGGCATCTGTAAGGTGGAAATAGTAATGCCTACCTTAGATGATGCTTGTGAGGATTTAATGAGAAGATATCTGTCAAGAGCAGTCTCCTTAACAGACACCTGAAAAACTTCTGTTAGAGTTCACATACTTGGTCTTGTTTTTAAACACCAAGAGATATTTTGAGGTAGCTGGTTGTCTTAGTCATGTAGTGCTACTCTAACAGGAATACCACAAGTGGATGGCTTTAAGAAAGAGGAATTTATTTTCTCACAGTCCAGTAGGCTACAAGTCCAAATTCAGGGCATCAGCTCCAATGGAAGTCTTGAAGACCAAATTCAGGGCATCAGCTCCAGGGGAAGGCTTTATCTGTCAACTCTGGAGGAAGGTCCAGGTCATCAATATTCCTTTGGTCTGGGAGCTTCTCTGCACAGGAACCTCAGGTCCAAAGGACATGCTCTGCTCCCAGCACTGTTTTCTTGGTAGTAGGAGGTTCCCCACTCTCCGCTTGCTTCTCTTTTCTTTTATCTCTTTACGGTGGTGCAGGCCACACCCCAGGGAAACCCCCTTTACATTGGATCAGGTATGTGACCTGGGTTAGGGTGGTGTTACAATCCCTCCCTAATCCTCTTTAATGTAAAATTACAGTCACAAAATGGAGGACAACCAGACAACACTGGGAATCATGGCCTAGCCGAATTGATACACACATTTTTGGGAGGACACAATTCAATCCATGACACCTCTACAGTTCAGTGATTTTCAGATTTCAAGCACCTTACGTTTTTTTAAAAATGCAAATCCCTGGAACTCATTCTTAGAGATTCTGAGTCATTATATCTGGGATGGGACCTAGGAATTTGTTCACAGGTAACCCAGGTGATTCTGATGTAGTCAGTTCAAGGACCACAGTTTGAAAAACACTGGTATAATGGAAAGAACACTGGTTCTAATTCACCTCTGCCTCTGACTGGCTTTGTGACCTTGGAAAAGCCATTTAGCCTTTCTTGATTTCTATTTCCTCTCCTGTAAAATTGATTATTCCTGCTTATTTTACATGTGACTTGTGAGATTTTAATCTTCCTTTCATCCTCCAGTACACCCCTCACACACTATCTTCTCCTTGTCTACAGAGTAAAATCCCAATCTTTAGCAGACTACACAGGGTCTTCTATGATGCTGTCTTTCCAGCTTCATTGCTTAGCATCTTTCAGCCAGTCCACCAAACTTCCATATCTTCGCACATGCCATTTCCTCAGTCTTAAAAGCCCTTCCTTCATTGCTCACCTGGTGAAATCCTACTCAATCTTTGAAACTCAGCCTTTCCTGACGCTTGTATTAGTTGCTGTTGTTAGGTACCATGGAGTTGGCTCCAACTCATGGCGATCTTACATATAACAGAAGGAAACGTTGCCCAGTCCTGTGCCACCACCTATCTGTCAGTTTGTTGTACTGTGATGGCTTGTATGTTGCTGTGAGGCTGGAAACTATGCCACCGGTATTTCAAATACCAGCAGGGTCACCCATGGTGGACAGGTGTCAGTGGAGCTGAACCTTAGTCAGATTAAGACAGACTAGGAAAAAGGACCTGTCAATCTACTTATGGAGAAAAAAAAAAATAGCCAGTGAAAACCTTATGGATAAAAACAGAATATTGTATTAGTTAAGATGTAGATTTAGCCTTTGTGACAGAGAATCAGTTAATGACAAAATAATCACTTGCTTAAACAAAATAAAAGTTTACTTTTCACATAAAGTCCAGTTGGTGTGATGATGATCCTCCACAAAGTTATCAAGACCCAGACTCCTATTTGGGGCTCAATCTCAAAACTTTGCCCTTATCCTCTTGGTCCATTTCCAGCTGGTGGTTAGGAGGACAAAGAGGAAAAGGACAGCATGCTGTTCCTTTTAAGAACATGATTTAAAAGGTGTGCACATCACTTTTGCTCACATTCAATTGGCCAGAATTTAGTCACGCTGCATACCTAGCTGCAAAGGAAGTTTGCAAATGTATCCAACTATAATCAAGGAGATTAGTATTATATGAAAAAGAACAGGACATTAGGATTGGAGTAAGACTCATTAACAACCTACATTATGCAGGTGGCGCAACCTTTCTTGCTGAAAGTGAAGAGGACTGGAAGCACTTAATGATGAAGACCAAAGACCACAGCCTTCAGTATGGATTACACCTCA